CCCCGGGCCGCGGAATCCTCGGTCGGCCGAGAGCTTAGACAGCAAACCGGTACGAGGGCGCGGAGCTCCCAGCTCCGGGCGACCCAGCCTAAGCCCCTGTGCGCCACAGCGCCGCCTACTGAGCGGGGGAGAAGAGGCGGGCGCGACCCCGCCTCCGTCCCGGCTCTCGGGGAGGGGGTTCTGTGGAGGCGGATCCCAAGTCCTCCCATTGGTCCGCTTCAGGAGCGTTCCACCCACTGGCTCGAAAGGATCCCTCCCAGAAGCGCGTCAGCAGGTTATTGTTACAACCCGGGGTTTCCCGGGGCAACGGGAATGGGGCGGGACTCAGAGCTCCGGTCCCGCCTTCTGCCTCCTCCCGGAGGAATGCCCGGCCCTCTGCTTCTAGACCCCTAACGTTTCCAAGTCGTCTTTCTAACAATCTGACCAAGATGATCTGACACTCCTCTCTCCTTTGTGGCCCAGAATGGTCTAGGAAAAAGGAATGATCTGAGAATATCTGGGTTCTGAGCCAATCTTTGCCATAATCCTGACTTCTCCATCTGCAAATGGGGTCTTTGTGGTGCCTCTGTGGGCACAGTTTAGAGGTTTGGTTCTCAAAGTTCAATGTGTAGCAGAATTATCCTGGTGCTTGTTAAGACAGATCACTGGGCCTCACTCTCTGAATTTTCTGCTCTGATCGGTCTGGTTTGGGGAAAGACTGCATTTCTAACAAGCTCCCAGGTAATGCACAGCCCGACCATACTTTGCAAACCACTGTCTTAAGAGTCTGTGGGAGCTTTCATGGGTGCTATTGAAAAAAAAAGCGTTTACCCAAAAGTTCAGGGTGTTTGGAGAAAAGCTTCCTCGTTTATTGAGTATGTTTGATGTACCTAGTGTTGTCCAGGGCACTATGGCAAGGGCAGCGACTGAGACAAATGAGGTCCCTACAGTATAGGCAAGCTGAAGACTCAGATGTTAATCAGATCATCACATGACCTCAGAAGGAAGGCACTAGCTGAGTGACTGGGCAGTCCATTACCTCACCCCACAGAGTGTTAAACTATGTTTCCAGCCACCACAGCATCTATCACCCTTTGTTCTAGGTATGCCTTAGGCCTATCTTGAGACCCTCATTGTAGTAGTCCACTCCTCAGCACTAGGTTCAAATGCCATCAGTTCAAGCTGATACTTTCTCTAACCCCAGCTTCTACATCTCTCTGTTCTTTGCTTGCCCAAAACATTTGCTGCCCTGCCAACAACATCTTGTGTCCGTTTAGCACAATATTCCTGTTTTGCCAATCAAGAAACTTAGGTCCAGAGTGAGAAAGCATGGCCAGGACTAGAATCTCAAGCTCATAAGCCTCTCCTAGCCACTATCCGACTCCTGGAGGAGCTGGAGATGCCGAGTTCTCTGGCCAGTGGGAGGGCTTTAGTCCATCTCCCTGCCAAAGGAGACACTCTCCTCTCTCAAAACATCCTTCTTTCCAGTTTAGGACTTAAGGAATAGAGCCAAGAGTAAGAGTTGGATGGGGCTGGAGGGCCCCCAACTCGCCCCCCAGAATGTGAACAGGCCTAGCTTGCAGATGCCTGACATGGCATATGCCTGAGTCACATCCCAAAGGCAAGGGTGGGCATGGGAACTGCTGCCTACCCCCTACACATGCACACCCTCCAGGTGGTTCTGTTTAGAACCACAAGGGGCTAAAATTACTACTGGACCCCCTCCCACAGCTCAGATGTTCTCCCAGCCTGGGAGCCCTCACTGGGGGCTGCCTGTTGGGTATGCTGGAAGTGTGGCAAACCTTTTGCCAATCTCAAGGTCAGGCCTAGCTCTGAGCATGACATGGGAACTTGCTGGAGTCCATACCAGAGCCAAAGAGCACTAACAGGTTGTGACCACAGGACTAGGACCAAGTTGGCAGAGGTGCCAGAGGCTGACTCAGGCTCTGCTTGGCCTGTGCTCTGCCCATGTCCACAGCTGTTGCCTGGGCTCTCCTCTGGGGCTCCTGTATGGCACACTCAGGCCCCACCACATGCTCTGAACACACCCATTAATGTGTACTAACCTTCTTTTTTACTCACAACTTGGTCCCTGCTCACACTTCCATCATGAGGCTAACAGTGATGAAGAGTACAGGAAAGTTGCTTAGCTGCTCAAAGCCACTGTTTCCTGCTGTATGGTCAGGTGACAATAGCTCTGCCTCCACAGGGCATTTGAAGGATGGAACAAGATTCTGAATGGCAGCACCAGGTTCAGAGGAAGTGCTCCATAAATGCTAGCTGGTTCATATCACTGTTCATTTGTGTCTTCTCTCCCTACTTTCTTCAGCTCACACACTCTAGCCTCTTCCTACCACCTACTCATATCCACTGTCACTCACATATACACTTGCCATGTTCCCTACGCTTGACAACAATATACTTTCTGATTTCCTTCACCACTGGCTCCTACACTCCCTCCCCCCTCCCAGTACTCTCCAACTTCTGTGTCTGCTCCCTGCCACTCACCCCAACATTTATTCCTGCTCCCCAGTAAGCATCCACTTGCTTACCCTTCCACTCCTTCCTAAACATTCACACAGTGTGCCCAATCACATGTTCACACCCTTATTTTGTGTGCTTTCTCACATGACTCCTATGTGGATCATAAAACTTGTACTCAAGCACCTAAATGACCTCGGTTCCTCTATACCTCTGTACCTCTGCTGGCTAGCCCACACCTCCCCGTGACAAGCAAACAAACAGTTGTCCCATGCATGCGCCCCTGTTGATACCCCCATCAGAGCCACAAGGACTCTCCCTTAGTTTTCAGGGACTGTCCCTCCTTACTGCTTTCCCTATTTCCCTCCCAACTCTTTTACCCTCCCAGCCTCAGAATAGCCCTTGCCACCACTGCTGTTGCCACTGCTGAGCTGTCAGGGCTGGCCAAAGCCCTTGTCCCAGTGCTCTGTGCCAGCTCTCCCAGCTCACTCAGGGCAAGTGAGGACAGGAGGACAGGCTGCTCTGAGGTCTGACATGAGTAACTGCTCCATATCCTATCATCCAGAATCTGGACCCCACCTGGAAGGCAGTCAACAATCCGGGTTGGCCGATGCCACTTGCACAGGCTTTGCCAGCGTTGCCCTGATCCTTATCCCCACAATTCCGCTGTGAAAGCAGAGAGGGCCTGCTTCCCTTCACGGACAAGCCTAAATCTGGGAGGAAGAGGCGGTGCCAAACTATGACCAAGCTAACTAAGCTTGATCCTTCCCTAAACAACGTAGCTATCAAGAATCCCACCATGTCTCTGCTAAGCAGAACCCAACTGATATTTAATGCTACCATTGTCAAGAAGAAAGAGTACAAGGGTGCTGTCTTGTCTGGGCCATCCATGGAAGTAGGGAGAAGACAGGTGCCTGGAAGATGGCTCCAGGGACGGTGAGTGGAGAGTGTCTGCAGAAACAAGAGGGGATATCAGGACAGCTAGGAGCAACTCCAGATCAGGCCCAGGCCCTGCCCAAGAAGGACAGTATCCAGAAGTAGGTGAGGCTGACTGGGGAGACTTGACTGAGGGGGCAAAATGGCAAAGAGAACTAAGGCCCTTTCCATAGCTTCCACAATCATGCCTAGGGCATAGTATTCATTTAGCTCGGGGAAGGCATCTGGGAATAGTCAAAGTGAGACCACATCTTACAGGCCAAACCAGTTCCTATTCTAGCCTATGTTCTCCTCCTTAGTATGTGTGGGCTCTGCTGAGCATCTGATGGGAATTTGGCTCTTAGGCAATCCTGTCCACTGATAAAGTTTCCAAGGCCCAGAGGAGGGACTGACACAGAGAAGCTTTTTAGTAAATGCATGGTGAATGAAGGCACAAACTCACTTCGTTGTCACAGCCACCTGAAAGGTGAATACAGTTATTCCTACTTTCTAGATGAGGGAAGTGAGCCTCAGAGAAGGGAAGTAACATACATCTTGACTCAAACTGGGGCATGAGTTTGCTCCTTGCATAGTACCCAGGGGCAGGGGGAAATGAGCTTAGGGGCAAATCTCTGCACAATAGTTTTGTTATTTGTGAGATGGAATGGCTATACTTCACTGGGAGATGATCAAGATCCTGTATGGGAAGTATCCAGTACAGAGTCCAACACGAGTAAATGCCAAGCAAATGAGCATTCCTTTCAGCATCCTCTGCCTTGAGTTTGCACTGTAAGTCTAAACTTTTCACAGGATTACTCCTGGGAACTATCATGTTTTTAAGTCACTCCTCTTCTTCTATGCCATGGGAAAGACTTATACTCATTTGCTAAGATTGTTGTAACTATCACAAACTGGATAACTTAAAAAGAATTTATTGTCTCACAGCTGTGGAGGCTGGAAGTCTGAAATCAAGGTGTCAGCAGGACCACACTCATTCCAAATTCTCTGGAGAAGAATCCT